TGCTGAGGATGACAGACATTTATGAAGCTGCATGTCTGGAATTTTAAAATGTTTACTGTAAAAAAACATTTTAAAATGTACAGGAAATGTTAAACGTAAAGGAAATTTTAAAATGTTTATTTTTGGTTTCACAGAAATCCCAAGAACTCACCTGGAGTATGAGAACAGACTCACTATGAAGATGTTCCTGTTCCAGTTTGTCAACTACTACTCGTCCTGCTTCTATGTGGCTTTCTTCAAAGGGAAATTTGTGGGAAACCCTAGCAATTACACATACATGTTTGGCAGCTTGAGAAATGAAGAGGTATGGATTCCTCTGAACTTTAGGAGCAGGCTGTATAATAAATACAGTTAGCCAGAACTTCACAACCACCTCAATCTCATTGATGCCAGAAGTTTTCTAGATGTGAGAAGGTGCTTGTAATTAGTGTCCAGTTGCTGCTCTAAACTGACATTAGGAACTGAACCATTCCTTTACTGTTCCCAGAATCAGAGAGGTGATAGCAGAAAGCTACTTAGGGACCCCACCACTTCTGCTTCCGTACACCAAATCTAGCTCAGGTACAAGTGAGGAGTTAGAGCTAATTCCTTTTAGGGTCAGCGTGGCAACACAGCATTTAGGCACTCTGCCACTTAGTGGAATCCATGGTCCTAAATTAGCTGCTGAGGCTTCCTATACAGTGGAAGGGGAGAGTTAGGTAGTTAAGAATGGGTTCATAGAAGCCAGCAAGCTGAGAGGGGAGATGCCTAAGTTACCCAATAGGAAATAGAGTGGGGAAGTGTGGCCTGTTCCTCAAAGGGAGCTAGGTGTTAGGGGAAAATGCTTATCTCTGCTTGGGGTTCACAGCTCTGAACCCTCTCCTGGAGTTAGGTTCCTAAGCCAGCTCAACACTTGCTTGCCAGAAAGTGATGGCGATGGTGGCAGCCCCTTTATGCCCAGTAGCCCAATACCCAGTGGCTAGAACATCCGACACACTGGACCAGAGAGAGAGTCAGAATAACTCTGTAGCTTAGTAATTAGCACATTCTTCCAACCCCTGCCCTGATGACTATTTACATTTTTATACAATGTGAAATCGTTTCAACAGGAGAGATTGAGCGTTCCCTGGTCCAAACTACCATATAGATTATTGTGCGCCACTCACTGGGAGATGGGAGACCTGGGTTCAGGACCTTACTCTCAGTTGGGTAAGATTGCCCTGGCCCAAACTACCATATAGATAATTGTGCGCCACTCACTGGGAGATGAGAGACCTGGGTTCAGGACCTTACTCTCAGTTGGGTAAGATTGGGATTTTAACCAGGTCTCTCATATCCAGCCTGAGTTCCCTAAGCATTGGGTTAGAGAGGTATAATGCTAACGATGGCACCATGACCACCTTCTTGGCTGTTGTCACAGTTAGGGACAGCTGCACCTGTACTTTACCTCAGTGGTCCAGCCACGGTTACTGTTTTTGGTCTTCCTAGTCATTGCTGTTCTTGGGGAGAGATGTGTCTCTTTCTCCCTCCCAACTAGGGTATTTCCAGGGTGAAGAGATCAAAAGGCAGTCTGCCTAAGCAGATATCATGTTCATTCTCTTCTCAGAGACTGTACACAATATAATTACCACAGTTGTAAGTTACCACACAGGCTTTCTTTTTCCTCTAAGCAAGCACATATTCTTAAGGGTAAAAGCAGAATAAAGAAAACATATTAAAGACAGCATAAACCTACATCCATGCTAATGGCTTACCAGAGATCACCCCAACTGTAACCTGGACTCTGTCAGGAGCAGTCCTTCAACCTGGGGCTTTCCTGTGATTTCAAGTTCATCATACCCTTTGAATAAGAGCCCTCAAGACTAAGAGCATTTGATTTATCCAGTATGGCTCTTTGAAGAGATCATGACTAAGTAACTAGCCACTGAATCTCTGCTCAAAGTGCAGTTTCAAAAGGATGGATTTGAGATGGGGGTGAGAGGAATGCAAATAACATAAGAACGGCCGTACTGGGTCAGACCAAAGGTCCATCTAGCCCAGTATCCTGTCTACCGACAGTGGCCAGCACCACGTGCCCCAGAGAGGGTGGACTGAAGACAACGATCAAGCGATTTGTCTCCTGCCATCCCTCTCCAGCCTCTGACAGACAGAGGCCAAGGACACCATTTTATCCCGTAGCTAATTTAACCTCCATGAAATTATCTAGCTTCTGTTTAAACTCTATTATAGTACTAGCCTTCACAGCCTCCTCTGGCAAGGAGTTCCACAGGTTGACTACACGCTGTGTGAAAAATAACTTTCTTTTATTAGTTTTAAACCTGCTACCCATTAATTTCATTTGGTGTCCTCTAGTTCTTTTATTTAGGGAACTAATAAATAGCTTTTCTTTATCGGCCCTCTCCACACCACTCATGATTTTATAGACCTCTATCATATCCCCCCTCAGTCTCCTCTTTTCTAAACTGAAAAGTCCCAGTCACTTTAACCTCTCCTTATATGGGACCCGTTCCAAACCCCTAATCATTTTAGTTGCCCTTTCTGAACCCTTTCCAAGGCCAAAATATCTTTTTTGAGGTGAGGAGACCACATCTGTACACAGTATTCAAGATGTGGGCGTACCATAGTTTTATACAGGGGCAGTAAGATATTCTGGGTCTTATTTTCTATCCCTTTCCTAATAATTCCTAGCATCCTATTTGCCTTTTTGACC